AAACAATGCAATTTGATCGCACCGATCGCCATCAATCTCGGTTGAATTTTGTGCCTGCAAAGTCGTTTTATGAGAAGTCCAAGAATACACACAGTGCGACAAGGGCACAAAAGCATTCACGCCCCACAGAAACTATCCAATGGCCAAAACAGGGGAAAACTCTGACAAATTAGAATCAAAGTTTTAAAACCATAAAATTTGTAATGTGTTCCATTCAACTTATTTACAAATGATTAACTGGTTAGGGCTCAGGTCCATCTGATAATCACTTATAAATGATGAAAAATTTCGCTCACTACTCTAATATGCAGGTTAAAAAAATCTCAACTTTTTTCACGATGCTAATTGCAACCATAACTATTATATTGTAAACGAAAACTAAAAAAAAAGACAGGTTTAAACAAGCTAATAAAACCTGATAAGAGAAAGCGTTGACAGAGCAATCCAGTGAGCCACAGTGACCATGATTATCGTACCGGCAGTAAATATTGTGTGCTGAAAACGCACCCATCCATCGTCCGCTCCATGTACATTCAGACGGATCACTTCTAAACGATAGTCATAGTGGTACTGGGTACCAGCCGGCCAGCATGGCTATGCATTTCTGCAGTTGCTGAATAAGCTGACATTTATAGAAGATCGTTGCGGCATTTAAAGCACTAGAATTTCTGAAGTTATGGACTGCTTTGTTTTAAGTTTCAGTAATTCAGTATATTCAGAGGTCAAGTTAATTTCGAAAAAGTTCAATTCTGCAAAGAGACAGGCATCTATCTCTAAGATCGGCTTCTTGCCCTTCTCATTTTCGAATCATAAAACAAGCTTAGACCTGGAAATGAAATTATAAATGAACATAAAGTGGGGACTGGAAATTGGTTTCAATTCGCTTTCTAAATTTATTCAGTGAATTAACGCTTGTAAATTTCCCACTGTATTTTTTTGCCTGTCGATTCATGGAATTATCATGAATTTGAATTTCAAAGCACTGGTCATAAGAGAGAAGAGATGTGAGTAGTGGTTAGATTTGCGAGTTCGCAGACGCTAAGGAGCTGCCCTGAAGTTTGTGACTACTAGTTTTCATTGTTTCGGAGTCGAATTTTCTGGACACACAGGAACGCATACACCTACATGTACACGCTGAAGAAACATGATCCAGCCATAACATTTTTTCACGAAGAATGAAACACAGATTGCACCCAAGCATGTTTTCTTGCACACGATACTTAGTCTGATCCCTTACCTCCTATTTAATTATCTCATTTATGTAAATGCAAACAATGTGACTAACTAATGAGACACGTCAAATCCATAACATATGAACACATCCCACACTCTACTTTTGGAAATTTCAACCTACTGAATATACCTTTTCTACTCCGCTTGATGCATCAGACTTTCTTTGGAAGAACAAGGGAATTTCACCAAATTTCTAAATATTAATATCCAACTGCTCTCATCCACAGCTTTAAGCTCCTCAATTTTCAACCTCATGGCAGTATGGCATTAGAAATTGGCACAAGATCTGCTTCGCTGACTAAGGGTTAGAAAGCTTATTTTAGACTTGAAATATTTCAGGCCTGTCTTGTCATAATAGTATTATAAACTCATTCAACAGTACGAGTACTGGAGATGGACTTAGAAACTGGTAATAATTTTTTGAAATTTCTGTCCTCTAGAAAACATTTAATAAGGGGGGTTAAATGCTCAGTTCTTTGTTGTCGTTCTACCTTATTTGCCAGATAAATTAATGTTACCAACGCCTCCGCAACTTTGATTAGTTATCAAAGACTACAATTTGTCAGCGTAGTGCAATCAAAATTTGTATATCAATGAGAAGTACAAAATACGTCATTTTCAATCCAGCCTCTTTCTTTTTCGCTCATTACTAGCATGGGACAGAATAGGCAGCAAAATTTATTCAGTGAGAAAGCAAACTTGCAGCAGAAACGTTTCTGGAATTTGCTGCCCAGTATGGTACTGCATGGTTCACCGAAACTTGGATCCGGCTTACATACACCAGCAAACCACCAGTTGCTACAGCGACCATTACTGCTCCGAATGTAATCATACTCCGGAGGACAGTGATGGTTACAGAGCGGCGCTGTGCCAAACCATTTGCAACCGCCATCGGTCGGAAATGGGCGATAAGCAGTCAGGTCCGACACTGCTTTCGCTGTCATACCTCAAAGTGCCTCATTTATAACTGAAACTTAAATAAGACAAACAAACACTGCAGAGGAACAGAACTGTTTATAATGAATTAAGTTTTTCTCTTGATACTTTGAATCCACTACCAGTTAGCATGGTACCTCGACATGATGTTGGAGAACCAACACCTGGGAATAAAGTGAAGGTGCTCAATACACACCACTAGATTTCCAAGTGGCTAAAGTCTTGCTAAAGTGCTTTCGCCCGCTCTGCAGGAGACGAAGGAAATTCCAGAAGATTAACCACCAGGTGATGGCGCATTAGTCAAAACAACCATGAAACGAAGAAGGAAAATGGCATGGTTGTCGGCTACGCCGTTGGAGAGCGTTTCGAATATTAATCGATGATAAACCAGTAACCGCTTCAAGTACTGAGCACAAATAAGTACTTAAAAATTCAATTTTCATGTTTTTTCAGAAAAAAATAAAAAGTTCCGAAAAGCACAAATGATGGCGTAAATGGAAATGCTCGAGAAGCAGCGAGGGCGAAGTGTTCATATGTAAGCTCAGCAAAACAACGAAGAAGGCTTCGACAGCTGATAAGTATCCAAAAGATACAGGACGGTCTATATCCCGCATTCCAGCGGAAGAAAGTGAAAGCAGACAAGACAGCAACAATTGGGGCTTCATCACTTCCTATAGATAATGGTCCTAAAAGTTTCCGGCCAAGCACGAGCTCATCCACATCTGTATTCATACAAACGTGAGGAGGATGAAAGACTCAACAGGAAGAGCTAAATTTGCGATGAAGCAACTACGATCAGATTCGCGAGAAGCGCCTGCCACAACGGCTGGTCACACGGGGAAGTACTTACAACCAAAGCTGACAAAGTGTAAGTGGTAAAAAAATTTTCCCAATGTAACTTTTAAAAGAACTGCCGCCCTTTTCACTCCCTCGACCACTTCTAACCCTCGTCTTTCATTAAATTCTGATCAGGTACCAGATGCTTTTTCCACTTACACCACCATTTTAGCTTATTTACGGGTAAATTTCTGAACTGGCATCATCTTATGCAAAATGGTAATACTGAGCGTACCAATGAAACCATGTAGTACGGCCTGAATCACTTGCTCAGCGTCCTTCTTTTCACGCACGCGTATCTCCTCATGCCCTGAGTTTTTTTATTATTGAGATTTCGTGCCCTTCTCAAACAACCGGAGTGCTTTTTTTTCCTTATTTAGATTCCAGTCTACAGAAATGTTTACTACCCATTATAACTTTTAGAAAAAAAGTGTTAGAAAACATAACTGAAAGCGACGACCAACCAATAACTCCGGTAACAATTGAACCAAGCAATGGGGTACTCAGGATACCGCCATCTCGTCGCACTCGTTTCGGTGTCGCAACTAAATTGAATGATTGCTAAAAAATTGATTTTTATTTATATTTTTTATTTAAGTATCACCGATTTTGATCTGACTGTTACTTCCTAATTTAATCTGTACCAGAGCTGCAGTAAAGTTCCGATCCTAGGACTGCCTGAAACTCAAAATTAGCAAAAAATTACCGTATAGGATTTCGGAGAAGCTGTTGTCGTTCACATCATTTGCAAGCGCTGCATTCGAGCTTATCTGTCCATTGTTCAATGCAAAGCAAATATTACTCGTTGTGACGAACCAAAGCTCAAAGAACAACTGGGGAAATCCTATGAGTGAGGTAAACATTGAATCTGTTTAAGGTACCTGAAACAGTCAGCATCAAGCGCAGACAGGGGTACCTCACGGCTTAACGAGTTATAATTTCTAAACAAAAATTTCACAGAAAGTAATACGAAAGAGCGCAAGGAACGCGGGACGTTCCAGAAGCAACCCAGTATTCTAGCTTCATTCTTGAGAAAGTGAGCAAAAACACACTCTCCTGACAGATTCTGAATGAAGTGCAAAGTTTAATCACCCCAAATAATTTCAAAACAGTGTAATGCTACGGCTAGGATCATTTCGAGCACGAGCATCGATAACCACTGCCTACCACCAACACGATTACTCCTATATCACAACTTTCGCCTATTTGTGAAAGTTTGTAGACGTTAGAAAGAGGCGCTTAGAATTACTTTAAGCTCCTAGGAATACCCCGGGATACAGGCAACATACTGGGCAAAAAATGACTGAAATCACCGCACCCCTCGAATATTAGCTAAGAATTACTTTTCTAAATATTGGGAAAATATTCTCAGAGCAAAAATTTCTGCTGCAAAACAAAATCGTAGCAAGTGAAAAAAACTTTTTAAGGGATCAAGGCGGAATTAAGTTCAGGATTAATGGATTCCTGAGAAGCCTTCCTGCCAGTTTCAAAATCTGGAGAACAATTTGAGATTCTTAGAAGATACGACCAGACGGATGTGGTTTCCCTGCACGGATGCATTTTTTGCGGGAACGCGTGAGCTGCGATAGCCTCAAAAGACCGCACACGAACTGGCAAAATGTAAATAGTTTTTTTTATAAAGTTAGAACAGCTGCTTAGCTGCGAAAGATTTTATCGATTTTAAACAGCAACAAGCGATTTACCACTCAAAATCCCTCATTAATGTGTATTACTTAAGTGATACATGCATATGTAAATACATGATATATGCATAATATTTAAGCATATACTACAATCTTCGTCAGAGACTGCATCTTAAGAGGTCAGAACAAACTACACAATACTACCAAAAATGTCAAAACAAGAAGCAGCCTATATTCCCTCAGTACCACGGTAGTGAAGATAGCAACGTACACAAGCGCTGACGAAAGCAGAAGAGCGAACGCTAAATGTAACAGAAACAGTAGGAAAGTAAAAGATGTTTAAGTTGCCCCTGCGTGATCTTATAAGCAACCGGAATCTTAATCAGAACAGCATTGTCCACCAAATCGTTGCGACCATGCGAAAAAGTAAAATTCCATTCTTTCGGTTGTCGCCATTCTAAAAAAAACTCAGGGCACCACTATACAGAGAGGGTGAAACCTATTACGGACTTTGCCACTCTCCTAAATAGATAGAAAGGAATGGGAAGATTTCAGTTTAACATTTTATGTGAAGTAAGCTAACAGAGGGGGAAAAAGTGGAAGATAGTATGGAGGGACATGTGTTATAAACAGTGTGACATGTTGATTGCACATGTGTTGAGAATATAAAATCGCTTCACTCGCCCTTTAACTTTAAATACGTAACTTCTTGATGTATTGGACCTCCCCCAGAAGTGAAAAAAATGCAAATGTCACATTTAGAATAAGCAAAAAAGCTGCGCAGAATAAATGCAGTATATTGATAGGGAAGTTTTGAAACTGCTCTTCTGGGGACCTTTCACTATCGGCTTTACAAGATCGCAATGGTCGGGTCCTACTTTCGGCAACACCCTCAACTTCCAGGACGGACCAAAGCGGGAGTGAATCGAACTACCAGTCTTCTGTAACTGGAATCGAGACTAATAAAAATTCTAATAGGACGTAAAAATTCACTGTAAGCATCACGATGACAAACCATCGGCTCTCCGTGCCTCAAAAATGAATGAGATGAGTTTGTGTGCTTTGCTCTGTCCTGTTCTGTGCACCTTTCTGTAACGGTATTTACGCAGCAGTAT